CCAAAGCCAGCTGGGTGACCTTGGGCCAGTCCCTCTCTCTCAGCCCTGGGAAGGAGGCAATGGCCAACCACTTCTGAAAAACCTTGCCAAGAAAACTGCAGGGCTTGCCTAGTCAGTTGCCAAAACTGACTCGAAGGCATGCACACACACATACTCACACACATACAAAACGAGACTGAAAGTTGCAACCTGCTCATATTTCACCTAGAAGAGGTTATCATTGTGGCTGTTGGCTGCTGCTGCTTGTGTCAGGCTCCTGCCGCTTACTAAAATTTATGATGGTCTCTTAAGAGATTTATATCTGTGCTGCCTATGTTTTTATTTTATTTTATTTTATTTTATTTCTATGTGATTTTCTTTTATTTAGGGCTGGTCAACGATTAAAATAAAGTCATTTCATTTCATATAGATGCTCTCTTTGCAGCTAAGTTTGGGTCTAGCTGTTAGTACAAGATGGCACAATGCTGCAGAACTCATCTAAACAGACAAGGATCTGCTTGGTATCTGGACCAGGAAAGGCTCCTATATCATGAGCTCTCATAGGGATTAGTATATATAAACAGATTACATTACAAGAAACATGTTTTAAGTAAGTCAAATCTAATACTTCTCCTCATCATTCTTAACATTTTCTAAAAGTAAAATGTTTCACTTCAGGAAAATGATATCCTCAATAAATGCCATGCCCTTTTTGTAGAAATAAGATGTGTCCTGGGTTTTTTTTTCCCCCAGACCAAGAGCGTGGAAGAAATGATATGTTATGGGACAAACAAATAATACTGAATGTGTGTATGGTCCAGTCTAGGGAATTACATGATTATATGTATGATTACTAGAGCCATGAAGAACAATATCAAATGGTGGTATATAGTGGTTGCTATTATAATATGAGGTTGCATTTATGTGGAATAGCTTAACACACAAAGAGAACAATGTCCTTCATACCCGAAAAATGATGAAAACAAATCTTTATGCTAGCACAGGAACTGCAATAAAGTTTGGATACCTGGCCTCCATGGGGGCATCTGCCAATAGGATGCCTTTTCCAAAGCCCTGTTTGCTTGTTACACAAATTCCTGGTTTTTGTTTGGTGTTTTTTTTTTTTAATTAGCACTCTCTTGTCTCTTAGCTCCCCACTCATCCAGGATGTGGCTAAAGAGCACACCATGGAACTCATGACAGAAAGAGAGACAGAGATCAGGCTTTGAAAATCGACAAAAAGCTGGTGAGGAGTGTCTCTGGCTGAGATCTATTGCTCCAATCTTAATACAAAGTTTTTCTTCTATCTCTGCCCACCCCGTGCAGAATGACCACTTCTACCTCCTGACTCCCAATCACCTAACTGCACATCAGACAAGCCAAAGATGGAGTCCAAAACAGCACCTGCTCCAGATGCTCAAAAAGTTTATTCAAAGTTGGAGATAAGGGAGAAACAAAGCTGTTTTCTGGGAAGCAGGGGTTGGGGAAGCTAGTGCTGTTCCAGAATTAACCATAAGCCTATGTCCAAAAAGAGCCAGAAGATCAACTGGCACTCAGTCTCCCTTTGAACTTATCCACGCACACAACAAAACATGTTTGACAGATGAGTAAAGCTACTGCTCTAGCCATCTGAAAATCACCTTCTCCCCAGCCACATGTCACATTCAGGAGAATCGCTGGTGGATGTTTTTCTTGCTGGCTAGTGACATTTAGTGGGAGAGGAAATAAAGTCAGGAATCTACCAATCACCTTCCTTAACTTGTCCTGCATTAAAACTAGGAGCAAAGATCACTTTGGACCTTGTTACTAAGGCAAAAAAAGAGTTCTGCAATGAGAATAATGCAAAATATACTGGCCTAATTTTCTGTTGCCTAAATGACTGGAGAAAAGCATTGTAATGTAGCCACATAAAGTCCATAGAAGTCCATAAAAGCAGAGCTCCCACATTTTTTTCACAGCAGGAACAATGGGTGAGATATCAGGTCTGCCACATGAACATTTTGCTAGATAGGCAAAATTGAAGCAGTGACTTCTCCAAGGTCACCTGATGAATTTTGTATCTGATTGGGAATGATTTCTTTAATCATAGGGCCTGCATTTTTGCAAGAATTTTAGGGTGCAGATATCTATAACTTTTCAGTTAATATAGATATGGGAACTGTTATATTATACTACTCCATTTAAAATTTAGCCCTTCTCACTAGCTACTGAAAAACCGTAATTTCCTAAAATGAGGGTGAAGAGAGGATCAATCAGCAGATATCTTATATTTCATTAAGTTCCCCCATATTTTGAGTAGTACTAAGAACAATGGAAAAGTTACAATGATTAACATAGTGCCTAAAAACAACATACACCAAATTACTTTGTTCTGACTGGCTAATTATAGGAACAAATCACACCTATTTTATATATTCCCATTTATTTGGCTAAGTCTTATAACCCTCTAGTATAGGATTTCTTCAACTTCAATCAACAACAACCCTATTCATCTTTCAGAAATTAATTTATACTAGCAGATATGCTGGTCCTGAAATTTTCTACACCCTGACTTATTAGGAACATGCTATCCTTCGATAGATAAATAGATAGATAGGAGATGATGATCATGAAGAGAGAGAGAGAGAGAGTACTAGAAGAAAGGAACTAGCTGGGTTAAATCAATGCCTACTGTATATATTTATCCCACCAGCAAGAAAAGGCAATATATCTATGAAGCTTGAGGAAAATGCAGACTTCACCTGTATGGATGAAAGTGTGCTTCTTCATGTCAGACTTCTGGTGGAACCTCTTTCCACAGTACTGGCATGGATAAGGCCGGGTATCTGAGTGGATGAGAAGGTGTGTGGACAAAGTGGAAGATCTCTTGAAGCTCTTCCCACAGATCTTACAGTCAAAGCTACGTTCCTGCAAAAAGAAAACAGACTTTATTGAACTATATAAGACACACCAATATAACTGGAACATTAATTGTCTTATCCTCACTAACTGATTCACAACATAACAAAAGTTAATAGAAAGTCCATTTTGTGAAACAAATTACTACAGTGTATAATTTTAAAGAAATATCTGACAAAGAGAAGAATCTTGGTGGGAGAAAGGAATAAGAAAGATTATTAATGTTTTGGAATACTTTTGGAAAAATAATCAAACCAAGAGCTAGTGCAGTGTTTCTCAAACTTGGCAACTTTAAAATGTGTGGACTTCAACTCCCAGAATTCCCCAGCCAGCAGCTAGTGGATCATAATCTGGGTCTGGACACATTTCAGAATATTCAGAAAACTCTCCCACCAGGATAGTTTCCTACAAAAAAAAAATGAATGCCAATAAATGTCTAAAATAAACTAGACAGGCTAGAAGAATCAATCAGCCCTTTTATAAATTTCATTGCCCTAACACATTGCTTCTGCACAGAAAGACCTACCACGTGCGGGAAAAACCCTGCTTTGGCCTATGCCCCACTGCCTGCAATTCAGCAGTGTTTGCACTGGAAAGAGGAAAAAAATCCAGATGTTCAATAAATGGCAGAAACTTGGTTTTTGAACCTTAAAATGCTTCTGCTTTGGAAGAAATGTACCTTTGCCCACACATCACACATCTCTTGGTTTCCATTTGGAAAGTTTGACTTACAGCCCAAGGATATTGCAAACTGCAATAGTGTGAACAACATGAAGGAAGAATAGGCTGGGTTTGCTGTCTGGTGGGATAACTGACTCACCCAACAAACTGAGGACTGTTAGGGCTCAGAGTCTTTTTGTGTACAGAATTCTCCAAATTCTCTGAATGGAACAGAATGATCCAATGATTGTTTGACTGGTTACTTATTCATTCTAGAAATTCATGGATCATACTTTCATCCCAAAGAAATCTCAGGGCAGTCTACACAGCCATAAAAACCAAATATCTTTGTGCATTGACAGCTACAAAGAAAATTTCTCACCAGTGTCATTTGCATAAGAAGCCAGGAAGGAAGGTGACACCACCATAACCAGATGTTAAAACAAACAAACAAAACACCTGTGAAAGGTGTATAGAAAAAGTATTACTTTCCAATATGATTTGTGCTGTACAACCACTTTTCAACATTTGATATTAATCATGTAATTTGTCCTTGAGTGCAAGATTTTTCTTTTACAGATGAACAAGACACCCTGCCTATACTGTCCTGATCTAGACCAAGCTACCCAAATCTGTAATTTGAAAAGGCCTACGAGCTCCCATTGAAGCAAATGGATATTTGTTTTTCTTATGAAACAGCAGACATGAAAACCCAATTCAGATTAGTTTAAGCCAAACCTTCCATAGCCCATCTTCAGTCTAAATCGAACCATGTTGGATATTTATGGAGAAAAAAAGTCTTGCTTTTGAAGCAAGATTAATTATAGTAATTGTAGTTAGGCCTATGTCTACCGATTCACAATGGAGATCAATCTAATCAAGAACTTCCTTTCTGACAGCAGTCACCTAGATCACAAGGAAATTCTAGCCCTTCATATGGGCTACAACTCTCAATTTCCAGGCAGTATTGTAAACATTGTACAGTAGTTCTAACACAGAAGGCACCAGATTGTGGAAAACTGTTTACCTATGACCTTGAAGCAAATGTGAAGAAGCTGACCTGCTAGGAACTATCAAATTAGATTGGAAGGTCCGTGATTACACACAAGATGAGAAGCACCTTTAAGTCTCCCTCATGTGACTGAGGCCTGATGGGAATATCTGAATACAATCCAGAATGTGGAAGAGAGCAATCTTTATACTAAGCATGCCTGTTAGGCAATGTAAATGCAGGGTATAAAGGATTAAGCTGTATGAGAAAAAGCACTGGCCCGTCATCCTTCTAATGCAGTGTTGTCCAAACTTGGCCACTTTAAGATGACTGGACTTCAACTCCCAGAATTCCCCAGCCAGCATGGCT